TATGATTGAAAAGAAAATTATTCAATTCTTCAAAAAAATCGTTGAAAATAAAAGAATATACTTTAAAAAAGGTTTCAACTACCAAAATTTTACTAAAAATCTATTTTACAAAATGGCTTTATTGAATTTTTTCAAAAAAATTGTAGTAAAATTAAAAATTTTTTATTTTAAGTCCCTCTAAAAAAAAAAAAATGTTCATATATATGTAGTGCAGAGCCATACTTTTATTTAAAAAAAATATATGTATCAAAAAAGAAGTCAATAATGGGGAAAGAAGCAGCCGCTGTTATAGGTAATTTAATGTATACCTGTAAGCAACAATAAACCATTGGTTACGAAAAAAGGTTCTGAGCGGAGTTCAGTTTATAGTGATATTTTGTCAACAATATATATTTAATATATATGTATGCCGTATTATAGTAAATTAATTAAATGGGCTCTTTATATTTTCTTTAATACTATTTGTTTAATGTTTAACCAATTTTCCCGGTTTTCTTAAGTTTTTCCTGGTTCACCTATGGTTTCCTCCTGGTTTCCTATGTTTTTACCCAGTTTATGAAATTTGTTTGGAAAACTCTGGAGAAAATTGATAAAGGACATTTCTAAAGTACTTTCCCGGTGAAATTTCCTTTTAGAAAAATGTTTATCAATAAGAGTTGGAACAAAATTGCTGGTAGAAAAGTTGTCTACAGAAAAAAAAAATCGTAATATTATACAAATATATTTCGTACATTTTCCCGTTCTTTTTCGGGTTTTCGCATTTTATTAGAAAACTCTTGAAAAAATCGAAAAATGATTTTCTTATAGTACCTCTCCACTCCGATTTCCTTTCAAAAAAGGTGCTACACGTAAAAACCGGAGCAAATCCTCTAGTAGAAAAGTTGTCCATAGAAAACTTGTACCAATTCTTATACGATATTTTAATCTACAAAGAGTACAAATCAAAGTTTTAGAATTTACAAATTTACAAGGTGAAACTGCGGAAATTTTAACTAGTTATATAATGAATAATTTAAAGAAATACAACTTATCCAATAAAATAGTTAGTTTTTCGGGTGATAACTGTAATACGAATTTCAGTGGTGTCACAAGAAAAGGCAAAAAGAAATGTTTTTTTTCAATTCTCAAGGGAAATTTTAAAACCAATAAATCAGGAATTGGATGAATAGCTCATATCTTACATACCGCAATGCAAACCTGTACGGATATTTTGCCAATCGACATTCAATCCATAGTTAATAAGATATTTCAATATTTTCATACATAAATAGTCCGAGTGGTGCAATTAAAATGTTAAATAAAAAAATATTTTGGGTACTATTAAAACACAATGATTATCTTTGCTCCCAGGTATTATTAGAATTATAGATTTATTCCTGGCATTAAAAACCTATTTTTTAACTCCAGATAAATGTCCTACAACTCTGAAACAGTTTTTCGATAACCCTATTATATATTATATATGTTTATATTTTATTCAAAGATAATTTAAATTAGTTTGCGACACAATAACAAGAATTGAAAGCGACAATATTTCAATAAGTGAAGTGTATGAAGAACCGGCAGTGTTATATGAAAAAATAAGGAACAGGCAAAGCCAAAATTTTTTTACATAATCTTAGCTTTAATTATTGAAGACCTTGATAAAAAAAAAAAAGATGCACAGCAAAAATAATTGTATAGAAAATATTGATGGTTTTTATAGTGTTTTATTATCTTATATATAAAAAAAGAGTTGTCATTTTGAACTGTTCAAAATTTTTCATAGGACTTAAATGTTAGCTATTCCTGCTTGGGTAGTCGTTCAAGAAAGTCTTCAATAATTATTTAAAAATCTCAATCTGGATTGGAATGTGGACGAGAATAAGTTATTTGATGAAATATTTATGTAATGATAGAAGTTAAAATTATAGAATAGAAAAATTATTCAAAAAAAATCGCAGAAAATGGTGGATGTATTTAAGAACTAGAAAAAAATGAAATTTCTTTCAACAACTTCTCAACATTTTTTGAATATTTATTGGCTTTTCTTATAACAAATGTACCTGTAGAAAGGATATTTTCAATAACGCATGTATTGTGGACAGATGAAAAAACCGTTTTAATATCGAAACCATTAAATTAATAATTATTGCAAAACAGCACTTCAAAAGCTTCACCTGTTCACAATTTTATGAATTTCTTTTGAAGCATCCAACATTTTTAAATTCAATAAGTTTAAAAAGAGTGGAAAGTTTTGAAGAAGAAATATAAAAAATCCACGAATAATGAGAATAACTGATGGTGTAATTTTTTAAATTCTTGTTAAAACAGTTTATTGTTTAATTGTAAAACTTTAATATTAAAAAGTAAATTTTTCTAATTGTTTAAAAAATTGTAATAGTTTTGAAACATAAAATTGTGTTGTTTATTGAACAATAAAAAGAAAATAATCCTAAATATTGAAACACTTAAAATTTAGGTTAAATTACTCAAAAAAGGTTAAGTAATATGAAGATAATTGGACTTTTACTTTATATGGGTTCTATTATAGATAAATATTGAACTCGTGTTGATAACTATAATTATTGTTGACATCAATACGTTTTAGATAATAAATAATAACCAAATAATTTATACTTCTTTATATATCTATGTCTAATAATAACTAATTTTAAATATTCTCTCCTATTAAAATAAATTATTTCTATATTCTATGTAAAACGACCTATTTGTATCATTTTTTTTTTTTATGTATTCCTTCATTTTTTATATTCAGTCGTTTTTTACATTTTGACTGTGATATACCTGATGTTGAATTTTTAATTCGAAACCGGTCGTATAATACACTTATCGTAATACTTCAGACGACGCACTGATTCATTTATTTATTTTATTTTTATGTATACATTTTTTATTTATATATTTATTTATTTTATGTGTAATAATACATTTTTCCTGGTAATAAAATAAATTGACTTTATTGATTTCCAAATTCTGCAAATTTCCAGTTCTTTATGTAATTTTATGAAATGCCTAGTTATTATATAAAATACTTAGAAATTATATGTAAAAAAACGATGTTCTAGGATTTAGGCGACGGGTGCAGCCATTGTTATCGGTAATTTAATGTATACCTGTAAGCAACGATAAACCATTGCTTACGAAAAAACGATTTTGAGTGGAGTTATCTTTGATGTTTTATTAATAATATACATACCATATTTAAATTAATTAACTAGGCTTTATATATTTTCGTTAATAATATTTGTTTAATGTTGTACCGATTTCCCCAGCAAAATTGTTCAAACTTATAATAATAGAAATTTTTCTGAAAGGAACGTATATCTGTAAGTAACGGTATTTAATTATTTTACTATAATAAGATATATATATTGTTAATAAAGCAACACTATCAACTGAACTCAGTTTAGAATTGTGTTTTCGTTAGCAATGGCTTATCACTTTTGATGTTTCTTCTCTACTAACTTCCCAACTTCTCACCTATAACATTGGCCCACTTGCGAAGTATGTCCATCTTTTTTGCATTTTGTTTTCCCTGTTACCTACCCGACGTGGTTTTGCAAACAATGTTTACTGGAACTTGGGTTTGAATTTCCGATTCCTGGGATAATAACAGGTACGTACTACAACTAGACTACGAAAAACATTCCTATAAAATAGAAATATTGAGTTATTTAACATAATACTAATATCTGCATAATATCAAGCTTAACGGAGACCGGTGGAATCAGTTTAATTCTAATTTCACCTTAGTTTTGAAATCGACAATATACATTCGATATGCTTGTATGTTTAAAACAGATTACAAAAAAAAACTGAAAAGACGGACAAAATTTGCACGTGGGTGTGCCACTATTGTAGATGAGAAGTGAAGAATGTAGTAGAGGGGAAATTTAATGTATATCTGATTAACCATTGCTTAAGAGAAAAAACGATTCTGAGGGGAGTTCAGTTAATAGTGATACTTCGTCAATAATATGTATATGCTATATTATGGTCAAATAATTACATACGTACTAAAAATTGTCTGTAATAATATTTGTTTAATATTGTACCGATTTTCCTAATTTGTCCATGTTTTTTTCCGGTTTTTCGCATATGCTGATGAAAACTCTGGAGAAAATTGGGAAAATCGGTACAATATTAAACTTGGGAAAGAACATTGCTAAAGTACCTACCCAATCAGATTTCCTTTTAGAAAAAGTGCTATCATTGTAAATCAGAGCAAAATTGCTGGTAGAAAAGTTTTCCACAGAAAAAAAATCTTAATACTTTACTAATATATTTTGTACATTTTCCCGTTATTTCTCATTTTTTCCTTTTATTGGGAAAACTGCTAACAGAAAGATTTAAAACCTCAATAAACCGAAACAGACTGTTTTCCGAGACCGAATTCAAGATTTAAAAAGCCACCAAACGCTTATCCAAGGTCATCGACCACCATCGCGTTTCACCGCTGTACCACTCCTCTTCCCACCAAATTCTTTATCTGCGGACGTCCGTCCGGGGTATGCTTGCCGTCGCGGTCCGCACCGTCGTGTCGAACGTAACGTAAGATGCGTAGATATTCGATCTCTTTGAATATTGTCGTTATACGCCATTACGAATGACGATCTTTATTGTGAGTTTCCGTACAACCTACCCACGAAATTCCCGAACTGCGTACAACCTATTAACCCCATAACTGAACCGATGTTATTAGGCCGCTCTAATTCCACGCCTGATGAAATTCGGTGATTCGGTCCGTTTATCAGTTGCTGCTGGGTCGTCACCACGATTAAAGATATTCTGGTTGCCTAACGGGCTATGAAATTGTGACAAAAATATTATTCGGATGACAAAACAATTTTGTAGCGCTCGTAGACCACAGTGGAATATATATGTACTATATTATATTGCTATCGCAATTCACAAATTATGTTTGTGAATGTGACATTTTAAATCATTAGTGATTACGATTTACGATTGTAAGTTATTTATATTTATATTTTCTATTTTCTTTTAAAACCAAGTACCATTTAATATTTAAACATTTTCAATCGCCGTAGAACAATTATCTTCATTAGGCACATAGACAATACGGAATGTGTTTGTATATCCAGAACCTTTTTTCCATCCAGTGACGATAACTACGGGATCTCCGGATTGAATAAATCCACGGGCTTTGCCAAACATAATGGCGTATACCACACGTCTGTCCATATCCTTCCACCAATCACCTAATGTTTTTTCTGTAATAATATTGACAAATAAAACGGAATTATAAAACATTAATATTAAGGCGCCCCGTGTTAATGCCATTTTCCCCACAAAAATACACTACGGAAATAATGATACTGTTCAGTAGAATCAACCAAATATAATTATTATTATTTTTAATTAGTATAGGGAAGCATTCTACCCAATTACCGAAGTATTACCGAATTGAACTCTGTTATTCAATAATTTATTCTCAATATTTATAATTAGTTTTCAAAAAAGTGAATTCTAAGATTTTTTTTCGATTATTCGAAATTGGAATTAAAAATCGGAGTTCAGTGTGGCCTTTAGAATATTGTTGTATATCAATTATCAATAAAAAAAACGTTGTCCTAGGATAATGGAGACAAGTGTAGTCACTGTTATAGGTAATTTAATGTATACCTGTGAGCTACGATAAACCATTGCTAACGAAAAAACGATTCTGAGTTGATATTTTTGCTTTGTCAACAATATACGTATTGTATGATATAGTGGGAAAATAATTTTACATGCATAATTTATTTGAGTTAATAATATTTTTTTAATATTGTACCTATTTTCCCGTTTTTTCTACGTTTGTTTCGGTTTTCCCATGTTTTCTCCTGATTTTTCCCATTTATTGGGAAAACTCCTGTGAAAACCAAAAAAATGACCTCCTCAAAATACTACTCCAGTTAAATTTCCTATCAGGAAAAATTTTAAACTTGTAAATCGGAGCAGCATTTCTGGTAAAAAGTTCTTCACAGGTAAAACATTGTAAAACCAATACTTTCCTCGCTCGACTTAGAAACTAAAAATGTTAATATGTTAAAATGATAATATTTAATTGACAATTATTTATCACTATTTCCGTGAAGTAATTTCCGTAACTAAAAATGGATCCACTCTTTCTCCCTAAATGGTTATCGGATAGTAGATTAGTCGGGAAATCTTATATTTACACTTTACGTAGTAATTTAAATGTTTAAAATCATATTTAAATTTTTCAAATTGGAGATAATTTGAAAAATAAGTATTGGGCCTCTTAAGGATAGAACAATTGATGTTTACTTTATTTGATCTATTTTCTTACCGTCATAATATAGAGGTAAGATTCCACGATAAATGTGGCATTGTCGTGCAATTTGAGAGTTTTTTGTAACAGCTATGATAGGACAACGTGGACGATATTTGGATATGAGATGTGCAGAATGGCCAGATATTGTAAGCACAATAATGGCTGTCGCTTTGCATTTATTAGCCGCATCTACAGCGGCAATAGCAGTTGTGTGTGAGGCATCTAAAGGTAAAGTTAACTAAACAAAAACACAACAGTTCAAAAGAAATTTTCATTAAATTAATATAAAACAATTCATACAATTTTGGTCATATTTTTCAGGAGATATACTTACAGTAGACGTCAGGTCAGAAAACAACTGTTTTTGCCAAACAGCTGTCTCGGCTTCTTTGCAGATGGTAGACATAGTACGGACGCATTCTAATGGGTATTCACCTTTGGCTGTTTCTCCAGATAGCATAACACAGTCGGCTCCATCTAAGATAGCGTTAGCGACATCAGACGATTCTGCTCTGGTAGCACGAGGTTTCTTAATCATGGACTCGAGCATTTGAGTGGCACAAATAGCAGGTTTGCCGGCCTGGAAAAAAAAACAAAACATGCCAATATATTTTGTATATAGATTGTAATAAAATAATAAAGTAAAAACAAAATTATTCTAATGGTTAATACTCGTAAATAAATAAAGTAAATAAATATTTAAAAATAAAATAAATAAATGAATCGTCGTATGGAGTATTATGATAAGTGTATTATACTATCTGTTTTGAAATAAAAATTTATCATTATGTATGATACAGTCAAAATATAAAACGCGACTGAATATAATCAATTAAATGAAGGAATACATAGAAAAGAAAATTTAAAAATTGTTCGTTTTACATAGAATATAGAAATAATTTATTTTATTAGGAGATAATTTTTAGGATATAAAGAATACATTTCGGAAATAAAATTAAAAAGACTACCCCTAATTCAAATTTCGCTAAACATGTTTTAGAAAATAACCATAGTATAAGTTTTGATATAAATACAGACTCAGAAATATTAAATAACTGAAATAACATATACATTAATTCAGTTTTAGAAGAATTATACATATATAATGAAATAAAGAAAAATAATTTTAATAATATTTTAAATATTCAAACCGATTTTAAAAATAATATCTTACATCAATAGATTTTAAATCATAAATAATAACCAAATAATTTATATTTTATATTTATATGTTAATATACTTCTTAGCATATTTATGTTTTATAATAACTAATTATAAATAATCTCCCCTATTAAAATAAATTACTATATTAATTACTAAATTACTAATAAATTCTATGTAAAACGACCAATTTGTGTAATTTTTTTTTTATGTATTCCTTCATTTAATTTTTTATATTCATTCGCGTTTTACATTTTGACTGTGATATACCTGAAGATGAATTACTAATTCGAAATCGGTTGTATTATACACTTATCATAATACTCCAGGCGACGCATTGATTCATTTATTTATTTTATTTTTGTATGTACATTTTTTATTTATATATTTATTTACTTTATATATATAAATTGTTGTATTATATTTCCATCAAATAATAATAATAGTAGTAAACAACCTTGTTGCATCGAGCGATCATAGCTTTTTGGGCTAAAAATACTTTTTCCGGAGGTATTTCTATACCTAAATCCCCACGAGCCACCATGATTCCATCTGAAGCTTCAATTATTGCTTGCAAATTTTTTATTCCTTGTTGATTTTCTATTTTTGAAATAATTAGAATATTTTTCCCTGCTTCACCTTTAATAAATAGTATAACATTTTAGTATATCTACACATTATTAACACCGTTGTATAATATTAACCTAAAATATCTCTTATTTCTTTAATTGCACCAGCTTCTCTTATGAATGATGCGAAAATCATATCCACACATTGTTCAACGCCAAATTGCAAATCGCATTTGTCTTTTTCAGATACAGCAGGTAGATCTACAGGTATACCAGGCAAGTTAACGCCTTTAGAGCTACCTAATGAACCGTCACTCTCAATAGTACATAAAATGTAATCGGGACCTATAAAAAACAAAATAATATAGTACAGCGATGATTAAAAATATTGTTTTCAACGTACCAATTTCTTTTACAATCAAAGAAATAAGACCATCATCAATGAATACTCGGTTACCAGGCTTCAATACTTTGGTGATGTTGGGATAATCGACAAAGATATTGGACACATTTCCACGGCTTTTAAATGCCTTGTCTGTAGTTAAACAAATTGATTGGCCTTTCTTTAATTCAACTACAGCCAAAACTCCCTGAATAATTATGATTTGTTAAAAATTATTTATAGTCAAATAGACGATGTAAAAAGTATTTCTATTTAAAATATTAAACACTCACTTCTTCCAATAGCCCAGTCCTTATTTCAGGTCCCTTGGTGTCTAAAGCAATGGCCAAAGGGCTATGAACACCAATCTTTTCACTATAATTTTGAGCTGCTTGTCTTAAGTTCTTTATAGTATTGGCGTGATACTCGTGTGAACCATGAGAAAAGTTCAAACGACCCACATTCATACCGGAGTCAATCATCTGTTCTAGAGTATTCACATCAATCGAAGCAGGTCCTATATGATTAATTGAAGGTATAGGAAGGTTTCAATACTTGTTGAGTATTTACATATTATTATCGAAATAAACAAATAGTAGATAAACAAATAAACACTTACCAATGGTACAAATTATACCAGACAAACGAACAAATTGTGTTTCAACATCAATATTTAGGGAGCTCATATAATCCAATTGAGTCATAATTTTGTCTTGATTGAACATAGTTTTAGCCATCTAAAAGTTTATAAAATAAACACCTTAACTAGTAAATACTTATTTAGTAATCAGTAACATTATATGACTAAATTTAGCATTCAAACTTTGTGTGGTTGTTCGTTGAATACTGGCCAAGTAAAGCTGTGGTCAGTAGTGTGTAATAAGCTTTTGATCATCAATACATTGCACAGTTTTAATTTACAAGTTTTAAATTTAATAGCTCTATTATGCCTGATAATCATACGAAATTGAAAGAACATGATGCACATAATATTCAGGGGTTTAATTACAGAAATGGCAAGTGATAGAAGAGATTATCCGAGAATGTTATTTTATTTGGCGTTGACAGTAGGTAGCTAAAAAAAATTGAAGATGCGCCAAAATTTAACACGTGGTTTGCCATTAATTTATTGGCACCACAATTTATTTTGTTTATTATAAGTATAGTTATACGATAAGTTTTGAACTTAAAGGTCAAAATTGTGACCCCTCCTCTTAAAAAAAAATATTATTTATCGACCCCCGTAATGACAAGAATATTGAATTTATGTTAAATATTATGTCCACTACATATATAAAATAAATAGAGTCGATACAGACACAAATTAAAAGTACGTAGGAGTAGTACATTTTTGTGTTTTATCTTTTATTCTCTAAATATTGTAATATTGGTATATATATAGTGGTAAATACAAACATTTTTTTTTTGGGAGGGGGGGGGGGTTTAAAAAAATGTAACAAATGAAATTGTTTTGAATTTTGTGTGTATTATAATCATACATTAAACATTTTATTATTATTTTACAGCGCTAATAATATAAAAGTTTAAATAATATAAGTTAAAAACTTATGGAAAGTATTTTTACTAAAATAGATTGGGCTGTTTGAAATTTTAACTTTTTTATCGCAGTAAGATGACTAGTAGAACTAGAAGCGGGTGCGTACCCAGGACTTTTGTTTGAGGGGGGGGCTTAAACATTTTCCTATTACCCTATTATCCTATTATCCTATTATTCTTACACATAAGTTAATTACCACTCATTTTTAAATTATCATAATAATCTTAAAAATCATAATAATATTATATAAAATAAAAAAAATTTGGCGGGTTTCTGACCCCCCCCCCATGGGTGCGCCACTGACTAAAAGTGTTAGAATCTGTCCAAAGTGTAATTTTATTTAGAGAATGTAAAATGGTTGGTTGAAGTTTTTCAAATAATATAACTGCATCATGGCAATCGACTCATCGAGTTGCATATAGATTTTGAGTGTAGCGAAGAATGCATTGGTTTTACTAAGATGTTTATTATTATTTTTTATTTATGTACGAAAATTCGACCATAAATCTTGCTCAGATATATACGCGTGGCACCATTTCCGAAAGGGAATGTTGTCCAGATGGTACTTTTAAGAGGTCATTTTTTGATTTTCCTTAGCGGTTTTCATAATATCTGAGAAAAACCAGGATAAAACGTAAGAAAAATGGGAAATGTACGAAATTAATGCTTTTATTATTTTATCAATTTTGTTATTTGTTCATTGTTAATTCAGTTAAAAATATTCGTAGAAACTTGAAATTTGTACAGAAAACGTACATTTGCCTTTTCTAGATGTGGTCAACTTTTTAAACTTTTCAGCCATTTTTAGGCTTTTTATAGACATTCTAATTTTGCGAGTTTTGTACGTAATTTTTATTCGGTAGATACTCTGTTGTAAAATTGTTAGCCTTAACATAAATGCTTGAAAATTTAACTGGAAGTTCATTAAATCTTACTTTGTAGTAAAAAAAAAAAAAAGTTTAATGTAGTATTTGTTTTTATAAAAGAATTTTGATACCACATTTTGACGAAAACTGTGTGAGTAAAATATGATGTGGAACAAATTTCAATTTTTTTTCGAATATATATGTGTATTGCCGATTTAAGAAGGATGGTAGAGTCAGAATTGAGCGGATTGACTAATTTTGATTTTGAAGTTTAGATATTAGACAACTATAACATGTTTATGTTAAAAAACTCTATATTAACTTTTTCGACATTCGTTTAATGTAGTCGAATTGTCATGAATACGTGTTGTCATCGGTTGAAGGTTTGAACCCGGAGTTTGAAAAGAAATTGTTTGCACTTTTTTTCTCCTTTTATCTAAATAGGGTAAAAACAAATGTATTTTATGTGCACCTAGAAACCAAGCAATCGCTTTCTCGGATGATTATAATCGAAAAATATCTTCGATTTGCTGTGCAAATTTTTCTACTAAAAATCTTGCTCCCATGTAGCCCATTTTCTGAAAGGAAATTTTGTCTCCATAGGTAGGGAAATAGTTTTTCTGATTTTTCAATCAGTTTTAATAATAATTGAGAAAAACCGGGATACAATGTCGGAAAAACGGAAAATGTATGAAATGTAGGTATTAGTAAAAAAATATTATGGCTTTTTTTCTTTCTGTATACAACTTTTCTACAAGCAATTTTGTTCCGATTTACTGGCGGATGGTACTTTATGGAGGTCATTTTTTGATTTTTCCACTATCAATCGTTTTTTTTTTTTTAAGTTCGTAATATTATGTTTACTCGATCAATTATTATATTAAGAATTTGGTACCATGAGGTTTACATACATATAAATGAAAATTTATTTATGGCTTTTAACAAGTTTTTAGCATCAAATTTATTTTCAGCAGATAGTACTTCTCGATTTAATAAACCAAAAATTTTAACGACATCAGACAATTGTCAGTTTAATGCTCTGACTAATTTCTGGTTTGAAGACCACCTTATAGTACTATAACACTAAAAAGATAAATGAAGGTTGTCCATTAAAACATTCCATCTTTGAATGGAACTAAAAAAAAAAATTAAATCATTTTTGCACGATTCCAAAAAACGTTTCTATAAATGAATAAAAACTGTTAATATATCCACTTATTAATAGATAATTTAGCTTCCTCCGACAAAGACTTCCGGAGCAAGAGCCCCGGTTTGCCCACACTAAATCCGGCTTTGCATCTCGGAAATCGCTAAATCAGAAAAATGTATGTAACAAATATTGTTACGATTAAAATTACACCACGACCCGTTAAGGTTTGCGATCCACGACAATTCGCCATTCACGTACTAAACGATACTAGTCATTTATTTATCATCTCCATACATAAAACAACATAAACATTAAGTAAAGTCAAAAACATATAAATTTTTAATGTAGTTGGCAGTTAAATTAAATTTTTTATTATTATTGTATTTGGTCATTGCATTATATTATACAGCGAACACCAGCACATTGTCGCGATCGTTTCGCTGTCATGCACCGTTCACTGCGATTTATTTCGAATTATTTCCGTTAATTTCACCGTACATTTTTCATAGCAAAATGTTTTTTTTTCGTTTGAAACCTAGGGCCGTATCTTGGTTATTTTTCAACATACGCTAGTGTGATCTTCACTATTACACATAGGGCTATTAGTGGCACTTCATATTAAAAGAAGTACATTTTATGAGGATAGTTTATAGATGATCTAGGGACCGTTTCTAAAGATTGGTTAGATTAGGTGGTGATCGGACGAATTTCAGGTTTGTAACCTTGGAAGGGATTTTATGTTATCATACTATGACACTAATCAGTTTCAAAATAATGGCATAATTTTTGAGTTGATACGTTAATGTGGGGGGCAACTTCACGCACATTGGTATGTGTCCTTTTACAAATCTATGTTGATTTAATTTTTTTTTTTTAAAATCACCTGCATATCTTTCAGTTGGCATAATTTTCTGTATTTAAATACGCTTTTTTACCAGGTTATGCTCCTAATTTCTCTGATCTTTTTGATACCAAAAACGTATATTTCTATTTTACGTGATATACGTTTTTTTAACAAAATACCATCGACATCGTCCATATCATTATTTTGAGTTGGTTTTTAATACATATTTTACTTAAGATTTTAAGTATTCTCGTGAACGCCACTGAAAATATTCTGACACATAGCGTTATTGTGACATAGTCATATCGTCGTTGGCCAGTTTGAGTATAATAATAATATCATCAATAATACATTATACAATAATTACTCATGTAATAATAATATAATAGTATTGCTATATCGAATATTTGGTCGGAAAATATACTTAAAACGATATTATTTAACTTTACTGTATAATATAAAGTTCGAGAACGCGGAAGTGTACAAGTAAAACGCCGCACCATATAATAATGTATATATATAGCGATCGTTGCAAATAGCTCTCAGGGGAATCCCACCAAATGAAAGTCCGAAAAGTTTTCGTGTCCGTTTTTCACCGATCTGTTGTAGTAGGCGGCCAATTTATTTTTGAATGGTTAAAGTTACGAAACAATAAACGTACTTATGATGCATCTATAATATTATGGCTATATACGTCGATCGACAGAAAAAATTATCGGGGATAGAAGAAATTAAATGTATGCAGTGTTACCCAACCCTCTTGACATTGAGGACCATTTTGAGAACTTTATTCTAGGAGTTCTCAGACCTGTACTTCGATTTGAAGGTGAATTTTTTTTTTGACCTAGTAATTTATAATGGATCATTTTTTTCCACAGACTTACTAAATTACTTCAATTTACTATATCGTTTTAAAAATTTACATCACTTTATAATTTATTTGTTATTCATTATTAAGGATTACAGCAACAAATTATCCAAGCGATTCAAATGTAATAACATAGTAGTAAAATTGTTTCGGATGAATATTTAAAGTTATTCCACAAGAAATCTACAAAAAATAGTGTTCCGATGCGATTTGAACCGTTAACTAGTTGTTGGCCCCTAATGACATAATTATAAAGGCAGTAAGTTTTGTAACGTATTTAGTGATTGTATAATCAAATTATTCTTATGTAATACTTGTACTACTTTATACTGTATTAGTATAAATTGTATAATATTGTTATTATTTAATGGATAATTTACCATAGGAAATGCAATATGACAATATTATCTCTGGAAAGCGAACAAATTTTCAATCACGTGTAATAATTAACTGGATGAAAACAATAAAAGGTTATTAACAGTATAATAATTCATTAGAAAATTCAAAATATGAACCAATTCTTAAGTAATATTTTTTTATTATTGTAGTTTTTTAAAATATTACAAAAATAATGGCTGAAAAAGGGATCAATAGTTTATTGTTAAGGACCATCAACCAAGAGTTTAGAAAATTTGTTCAGTTGTATTCGAAGTTTGGGATATCGTGAAAACAGCTCATCAACTACAGTATTTTCATCAGCATACAAAACTTATCTGATATCCTTACTTGTACTCTTTCTATATCATTTAAAAAATCCATAAATTCCAGTTTATTTCTCTCTACTTTTAAATTAAGGTCTGTGACCTTGGGGCACCTCGTAATAGAGCTAAAAGCTTAGATCCATGACCCACGTTGTTAACGTGTTCAGGATAGTGGCCTAATTGGTGGTGTTAATTTTAATATAGATAAAAAGTTCCCAATTTATTGTCTTCATCAGGAATCTAGAATTTTAACTATAAAATTTATAGTTGTGTATGTATCTTCCATATTTCTATCTTCCATTTTTTATCTTCCATCTTGGCTCAGATTTACTAAAATATGAATTTATCTAAAAAGGAAATCTGACTGGGGAGGTACTTAAGAGAGATGATTTTTTTCATTTTTCCAAGAGTTTTCCCAGCAAATGTGAAAAACCGGGAAAAAATATGGAAAAACTGGATTAAACATAGGAAAAACGGGAAAATCTGTATAATATTAAGAAAATATTATTAAAGAAAATATATAATGCCTGTTTAATTATTTTACCATAATATGACTTATAATATATTGTGGACAAAAGCAACACTAGCAACTGAAGTCCGCTCAGAATCGTTCATTGTTAGCAATGGTTTATCGTTGTTTACAGATATACATTAATTTCCCCTCTACTACCTTCCCAACCTTCCCATCTACAACAGTGGCTGCACCCGTGTGCGAAGTATGTCCGTGTTTTTTTACTAGATGTGTTAAAAGTTTTCCAGAAAAAAGGTAAATTATTATTTAAATTTAACTTTTTAACTAGTTACTGCGCTGTTCTGTAAATAAGATCCATAATGATAGTGTGTGTGTGATGATGATGAATACAAAACAATGATCAACTAGGTATGTCAATAATATCAAAGAGCGTTGTATTTCGTGCAAGACCAAAACAATTTGTTTTAAATTTATTTACATTTAAGACACAGATTACATTTTCGTGGTATTATATCAATAATTTTAATTCAATACTATCTATAGGTATATATGTATTATTATAAAAACAATTATTAACAAAAAAAAAAATAAATTTAACAATTAATGTCGAACTATTGAATTTAAAACACACAAAAAAAAATGTATATAAAGGTGTAAACACTTTTATTCTCGGTATTCTCGGTTGTAACAAACAATTATATAACATAACAAAAATGTATTTAAGTTTGAGATATTCCGGTTTTATTGATATTGATTCTAGTTATATAATAGTATTATTTTATTATATTCGGATTTTTTTTTTAAAAGTTTATATTTTTATCATGGCATCTTACGGTTATTTTTGACGAATAGATAATCTTAGTATTTTGAAAAACGTCCATTTTTATATATTTTGAAACAGCGGTGCTAAGACCGTCTTAAAAATTATTATTTTATATACTTAATTACTTACTCATACTTATAATATAATATGTAAGTATTTTTTGTTTCGTGCGTCCGAACATAGCATTTTAAAATTAAACGTTTGATGGACAAAAAACAAAGGTAAAACACGTAACACGATTTAAAAACAGCATAGAAAATCGACAAGAGTATACAGAGTAATAGGTGTATATTAAAATACTACAATAGAAAGGTATACAAAGGGAAGTTAAATTTACGTCAAAGGAATAATATTTCGTTTTGAAATTGAATTACTTACATATTATTATTTTATAGTACCATCGTTTATATTATATCTTTGGGTATTATTGGGTACTATATAAATAACTGGTACAAAAACGTAGCGTTCATAGTTATCGAATACCATCAGCTAGGTACAACCATATTATAATATCATTTGCAGTGAGGTACTTTAATAAATTTATCAAATTATCTATATCAATTATAAGTAGTACTTATTATATTATTATAGGTGATGAGAACGCACACCAAAATATATTTTATAGGTACCTATAATAATATTATTATTATTTATTTATTAATTTTTTTACATCAGTTATGTATTTAGAAAAACATACCTTTCGTCTTATGGCATTTATCGAACTTTAATTTAAAATAATATTATTCATTATGCATAATATAGTTTTTCGATAATATTATTGTATGGTATTTAATTAAGTATAGGTAATTTATATAAACTAAAAATTTGAAACCACGTACATTTAATAATTTATAATAATATATTTAAATCATTTATGATGCTTATTTGTATACATTTTTTTTTTTTTAAATTAAAGTGTTTTAACTTAAAATTACATAAATTCAAAATATGTGTATGAGTATTTTATGATAATATACCTATTTTATATAATATTGTGTGTATATCTATATTACCACTTAATCTATTACTTAAAAACAAAAAACATAAAAGATAGACAAACAAATGGAAAACGCATTTTCTCTTAATATTATAATGTTAAAGCCGCGTGGTCGCGTAGATACATTAAATTTCTTATATATACATAATATAATATGTATTTCAAATCATTTCACAAAATTCCGGCATAAAATACTGTTGAATAATATTTTTTTAGTTATACATACAAATACACACACATAAATATATAATATGTTTTTTAAAATGTCTGAAGGTAAAACCATAGATAACTTACAATAACATTACAATTCTATACCACGGTAATGTATTCGTCGTATGATAGACAGTGATGTGCAAAACATTTTTTTATTTTGTGTTTGATGGAGCCCAGAAGTTCGCTTTACTTATTACCACCATCACCCTTTTATGAGCTAACCAGTAATAAATTAGTTATTACTTGAACTCGTTGTTCTTACTATCCACTACTCACCAATTTTGGTCAAAGCACATGCCTGAAAAATAAAACACTCTGCCACTGAATTACGCCATAGAATCGGTAGGTACTTGAAATATTTAGAAAAATATATATTTATACATTTGCGTATTACACCCCAGAGATGAATTTGTCTAATTCAATTTTGTAAATTTTGTACGTCATATATGTATATATATTTAAGGGTATATTATTTTTATGTGAAATAAGCGGTGTTTTCGGTTGACACGGAAACATTTCGTACACTATAGCTGCACACTTACGCCAAGAACACTGAAATTATTTTACTAAACGCTCGACCTTTTATTATAATTTACTCGTATAATATTATTATACGACGACGTTGAATTATTATAATACATACTAATGTGATCAAATCGTATTATATTCTTGCACGACAATATACGGTTTTGTAGGTTGGGAATACCGTGGGGAAAGGTTATACCAGTATAGCGGGTCACCCGAGGGAAGTTTCGAAAGGGCTCAGATGGCATATAACTGGAAAATTTATTTGTGTATGAAAATATCGACACTAAGTTTAAACCAATAATAAGTCATGTAATAATAACATTTAAAACGACGCAGTGACGGTAAACGATTTAAAATCATTAAAACATTAGGTAGGTAGAGATTCATTTCGAAATATATAATACTCGTAATATATAATCCGTTTTACTTCCAAATTTAATTATAGAGGTACTTACCTAATTTGATAGTTTTGTTTTAAACTGAATAAGCATATGCGCTCGTTGGTAAGTAGTTACCGTCGACTGGGTTAAGTTCGGAACTTATTATACAATTATTTATATAGGCAATATTAAATTAACTGTTTTATGTCTTCCGTTAAACACCTCCAAAAATTAATAATATTTTAAGTTTGAGTGTATAACATCGAATTGTTATTAATATAATTTTGAATGAATTGAATAATATAGTTATACGTATATGTACAGTTCAAAGGGTATTATTTAAAAAAAAAAAAATAAAAAAATAAAACAAAAACAAAAAAAAAAGATTATTCCTTAAAAGTGACGGAGTCGTATTATCGAGATAACAAGTCAATTGTCGATCAATCATAAATATGTTATTTTTTCTTAAAGTTTGATATTGTTTTTTTTTTTTTTTTTAATTCTGAGAGTAACGAAAAATATATTGGTTTTAGTATGATGTTTATTATTATTTTTTTTTTTTGATATTACTATAGTTTCGACGCTGCACTTTTATATGAGCGAGTGGATTACAAACGAATAGTATTGTAAACAAATTCAGATTCTAAAATATATTTAACGAATTCAGACTGATCCGTTTAATCTGGATTGATATATTTGATCAGTAATCCGAATAGATGTTATATTAAATACAATAATGATCAAAATATTAATCTGATATTTTAGATCTGGATGAATCTACAAGAGAGGAAAAAAGTTATTTTGATTATATATTATTAGTTTACTTATAATAGTATAAAGAAACACTACCACATTGCAAGAAACACGACTTTAGTGATTAATTTGCTATCTATTTTTATCATTATACGAAATGAATTCCTAGTGTTGTCAGTTGTATTTTTTTTTTAGATTTTTTTTTTGCTCTCATTAATTTAAATGTTTTAATAAATTTAATATTATTTAATATTAATATCCGGACTGGCCATTGTAATCCAAATTATATAGATTGTTACCATTTTTCAATCTCAATCGATTTAGATTGAACTGAATCAAGTGCTCAGCACTAGTTTCGAATGAACGTGATAATCTACCGATATTATATATTATACTGTAGTAGTATTAAAACGGAGATCTGTCTTATACACATTTTCACCGATAATGGACGGCAATGTATCGGATGATGGCGTTTAGATCTCAAAGCCCATATACAAAACTTATGTATTATTGGAGTGAATTATAGCAACGCATTTAGACATAGTATAGTCTCTTCAAATATTTAATCTATTCGCTTTCTTGTCGGTATAATACATTGTGTACTGCGCGTCGTGTTTGGCTCAATATTTATGACCCGGAAAACTTTTCAAGTCCTGTCAAATATTTATCACCTACACAATATATCAAACTCGAATACATTGTAAGTACACTTAATTTACGCATATCTAATTATATAGTATTATAATCGATGTCCACCAGCGGATGCCACAACGCAATAATAATACGTGTAACCGATGAAAATAATGGAACCTGTACTCTCAAACCCGAAAAGCTCGTGTAAAAACTCGTCAACGTACTCGGTAGAGGCGTGCTTATAGTGAAAAGAATTTTAACAGATTATTAACATGTTTTAACATGGTTTTAGAAATTTTATAAGTGAAATGTGTATACATTTTACAGAATGTTCTTATATTGCTTTATAAAAGACTCGCGGAACTCGGGTATTTTTCTTGACTTTCCCAATAGGCGCCTATGACTTAAAGTATTATAACGTTGCCCAAAGAAAATACCCATTATATTAGTATTTTGAGTATTCATGTGAATATACGAGTATAATCTGGCTCACGTTTTGTATAGGTGCCCATAAATAATGCGATCACTATCCGTTTTTAGTGTTTGTTAAGTATGTCGAATAATAATTTAAAATAAAAAAAAGGTATGTTTATGTGTTAGTATTATTAACAAATAAGACAGAGGACATTTAGCTCTACAAAAAAACGAAATATGCAAGCACTTGAAATATGCATTAAAAATAGGTTCTAAATATTTTTTTTAGTGATATAATTCAAAAATATTATTGTTCAAAAACATCTAAACTAAAGAAAACAACTACCTAATTACGTAATTACCAAAAACCTACCTAACTAAATTATATGACATACCATGACCAAATAATTAAATAAAAACCTTTTTATCATAATGCCATTTTTACTTTTATTTTATTGTGTTGTATTTACTTGTATTGTTTAAATTAAGTTGACATTAATACATAACATTAATTGATTGATTTTCAAAGTTTGACATTTATTCTTCTGACACTAATAAAACAATATTTTAAATATATTAATTAATGATCTTAGGATTAAAATTATTAATAATTTTGATAAACGTTATTTCATAAGAAGTTGTGAAAAGAAGTTCGAAAAATCTCCCAATAAGCATAACAAATTCTTACAAATGTTTCAAAAAACCAAAAAGACCTAAATATATAAAAATATGCATATTTGGTTGTAACATTAAATATATTTCTTTTAAACTAACCTTATTTTATGATTGCGCCAAATAAATATGCAAATGCTAGAAGCCCTCTGCCCTATTAATTGATTATATGACACGGAGTCTCATATATTATAGTATCATTATTAAATTACTTATACTAGTTATTGGGCCATTTTTGTGACGGACATTTAAAAACATCGTTTGTTAATCGAACCTAAAAAATAATAATTAAAATGAATATAAATTAAATTTTATTTCGCTTAAGATTTATATACCCACGTCCATTGTCTCCTCCGTCTTACGAATAGCAAATTTTCATTTAGTAGAACAAATGTTGTGCCGTTATTATTAATAATTTATTCTACGTTGGTGATTTTTCAATATTTCGATTTTTAAGTGATTACGCATATTGTGTAAATTAAAACAATTTAAAAATACTTATATCTCCGTTAAAAAAATAAAATATCGTTAAAAAGTCAACGTAGTAGTCAAAGATAATGTCTTTACCTTTAAGTTCGATAATAGGTCAATTCATTGTAAAATTAAAATCAACGGCACAAAATTAACTGTCCTATTGAACCACACATTTGCAATTTAGTGCGTTTGTAAGACGGAAACAGTAATAGATGCGGATGTGACGTCGTCTCAGAATACATTGGTAGTACTTTCCTGTTTATATTGTACTATTATAGTTTTATACAGTTTTAAATAGTTATACAATTGTTTTGCCTTAACAATAAATTTCGGTATGCATCGTATATATTCTAACCTTTTGCTCAGTGGCGGCGTGATAGGGTATTTCATGAGGCAATGGCCTCATGGCTAATTGGGCGGTGGTACCTCTAGGCTAAAAATATGAAGTGTTACTAACTGATACTTGATATTTAATACTTTATTTTTTAAATAAAAGTTTATTTTTCTTAATTTAAAGTATTTATAAATATGTATAACTTAATATAAATAATTATATTAAGTTAATATGTGTATATTATGTGTATTTCACTTATATTCATTTTAACTTTTATATATTAAATATTCAGTGTTGAGGTAACCAGCAAATATTTCAATAAACAATATTTTTTATGAAGATGATAAAATAAAACTGATTATTTATTAATTGTATAAATTAATTTTTCTTTTAAAAATCTCTCAAAGTAAATGTCGCATGTTTTACCGCATGGCTCGGTATTTCGGTCGTTAGCCCAGTGTTATTTTATATTAACGGATAGCGAAATTAAAAAAAAGGGTATAACGAAAAAAAATATATGAAGTATACAATTATTAATTTTTGATATTCGTAAAATATAAAATCTCCATGACTTAAATCATATAGTTGTGAAATGGTAAATTAATGAAGAGAGGAGGTTGTGTGTGGGGGCTTCGTCCTCACGACTTTGTCTAATAATACTGAGGTGGCGGTGGTGGTGGCGAACCTATAACATCTATGTTTGCCTCATGAAATAAAATAGTGCCGCCACTGCTTGTGCTCGGCATAGGCATGCGTACGGATACAACCTATACGGCCTATGCCGTACCTGTATTAATGTTTAATTCCTTGAAGCTCGGTTTCCTAACATTCTATAAAAAAATATATATTTTTATTGTTTTTTTTAATATTAAATTTGTCGTAAAATGTCTGTGACACACAGTATACTCTGTTATTCCATTGGTAAGACTGCGGTCCAATACGTTTCTTTATTATATATGCTGGTAACTCAATCATATAAGGTGATTTGCGCCAAAATATTACATCATGAGAAAGAAACGTATAGGACTGTGGTTTTACTAATGAAATAACCGAATGTTCTAATGATTGTTTTCGATTGAAAAAACACTATTTTCTTTTATTAGTGTTTTGTTTTATATTTTCGGTATTACTCTGGTATTTAAACAAATTTAATACAATGCAAGTACCTATACAAGTATTAATATTAAGTATGGCTACAGACAGTACAAACAAAATTTGTTATTATACTGTTTATATGCATAATGTCTAAGTTAAAATTGTTTGAATTTATTATTGTAATATGGTATAAAATGTAAAATTCTTTACTTCAACTGTAGTATTGCCACAAAGTAACTGTTACTTAAACTGAGTACCTATAAGAAAAATTGTGCCGTACACGTACCAAAGTTCTGCGAACGCCTATGATGTTCGAGGAGTAAAAATACATAATTTACGATACAATAACGCAATCTATCGACTATATAAATTATATATTATTTTATGTAAGTATTATTTATAATTATATAATAATGGAAATAGAAGTAATAGATATACCTACATAACATTATAGAATTGACATGTTTGGTTTTAGAGTATTTCGTATCACTATAATGGATTTTCCTCCATGTCGATTACTCATTTTGAATCGATATTTTACTATACTCGTTTATTATATTGTTTGATTATTATTATAATATTTTAAAAAAATTGGTGTTTTTTTTTCGACTACGTACCACTACAGTAAACTTATTTGTTATTACAATATTATGATACATTATGAATTAAGATATAAATGAATAATCAAAAATAATTTTTTAAAATTTTTTTTTGGTATGTATACATTTTTGTTTTTTTTTTTGAGTTTAGACACAAATATTATTAACTATAAATCCGTTAAACGCAATATTATATTACAAGAACAATTATTATACAGTAATGGTATCGACAATATTATTGCAGGATATACGATAAATTAAAATATACCTAATATTCATAATTATATTAATATAATAATATTGTAATAATAATACCTAATATATTAAGATATATTGTTATTTATTACTACTTATTTATTATTAATAAAGTTTAAGTATATTATACAGTCGATAATATTTTTATTTTTATAAGTCTAGGAAATTAAGGATTTTAAAATGATTTGACTTATATACTATTCGGAAATTTATATAATTTAAACAATTTTTTTTTCTAGTAACTATTAAACTTTTAGATAGTTAAGTTGTACTATAAACATATGACATACACTTTAGACATATTATTATTATATATATGTATATAAATGTATATACCTAATTAAGTGTGTAAGTAAATAAGTGCTAAGATTAAAGAATATAATGTTTGCATTACTTCAAACTTAGAAAAATGTCAATATAATATTATGTTTAATTACAGTTTTTACCATTCTATATATAATATGTAAATATATATATATATATAGTGATGATATTGCTTGTATTAAAAGTGTTTAGGTTAAAACAAAAACTTTAAGAAATATATATATTATCAAGAGATGATGGTATGTTTGAGTTAAACAAAAAAAAAAAACACATTTTTTATGGTCCGTTACAAAAAGTTGAAGATATGTTCTTATACGTATTGTAATAAAGATATAAATCTTTGGTTCTAATATTTTTTAGAAGGCAAAACAATTCCGATAAAAGCTAAAAATAATAATGAGAACATGAATTGAAGTTTTGAAGAAAATTGTTTACATTAGAGTAATAAAAAAATATTAAACCAGTTTATGTTAAACACGAATATATTTATTATATTATTATTATATACATATGCCGAAATCTTAATTTAATTTAGTTTAGGTTGAAACAATATTATGTCACTTGTAATGCAATAATTTATTTATTTCGGGGATACATATTTTATTACTAAGTATATTTTTTTATCATACATCATACACCATTATCGATACCAATTATTTTTGATTAAATGTAAATTTTTGTTGACATGCTGTATGTTTGTAATATGCTAATTCAACTGTTTCGATAGGAGACATTTTGAATAGATAATAGTTTTATATGGTCTTAAAATAATCTATTTAGAAAATGTGTGCTCTTCGAAAAACCTAACAAATTTTTTTGAAAACATTTCGGTCATTTAAAACAAACAATACAGTTTTCCCGGAAAATTTTTTTTTTCGAACAATTTATGAAACAAACCGCTCTAAAATATTAAATTACAGTTATTATTTGCCATCATTATTTTAAGGGTGAAACCACTACCCCCTTTTAATTTTTAAATCAAATTGAAAATTGATGACTATTGAAAATTCCATAAGATGCCGTTCTAAACCGAATACATATCGGTATTTTGGTAAAATTTTCAATTTCCGTTAACCTGATGACAGGATTTTCCACTTTTAAATTAAGGTAAGGGAGAATACTGGAGCTTCTTTTGTGTGTTAACGTGGCGCACGGCCATGGCGTTGGGATAGTGCTCCACTACTTCACATTACCCAAACATAACAATGAAATATCTTGTTAATGAGTTGATGGAAATTACAAGCTTCTCCACCAACATTTATTTTAATTAAATCTGTATCTATTTATGGAACTTTTAATGTAGGTCGCTATTTAAAAATCAAAAATGGGCAGTGGTTTGATTCCCAAAAGTAGAGGTTGTAACGATAGTAACGATAGTGTAACACTTAAGAAATTCTTGTTTCTTAAATTTACTAAAAAAAAAAATTCCAAACACTATTAATGCTTTTCGAGACAATGAATGTCATATCGTGAATTGGTTACTTGTATCATAATATACCTATATATTAAAATCTATAATATTAACTCGATTTGACACAGTGTTACTGATATAAATGTGTATTTAATGTATTATTAATATTTAGAAGCTTAAAATATAACAGTACAAGACGTAATCAATTTAAATTATCAAGAACATTTTTTATATTTAAATTTATTGTAATTACGTCATATTATATTATTTCCTAAAGATTTTGTTTTTAATAACTATACGTTAGACGTCCTACACAGTACACAATAACGAAATAACTACATGTAATTTACGTTTTGTGTTAGTGTTTAAAGAAAAATTAAGTCGTTTATAATAATTTTTATACTTATTTTAACGTGCAGTAATTGAGAAATTATTATGCTTTTGCATTTTGTATAGATACATTATTGGAATACCTACATAGCTACTCTGGGAAATTTAATTATCACTAGTCTTGAAAATTAATAAATTGTATTGATACGCTTAGACATTTAGGCAATATAATAATATAAGTGATATAATATCAGTATCTACATTAAGCAGGTTTATATTATGTACAGAATTATTTAAAGCAGAGTTTAACTATAGTTATTGTATTTAATTGCGTTGATTTTTTTTTTTTTTTTTTCATAAATACAGTGTTGATATTTAATACGCTATTTTTTTTACGCTGCTTAATCGATTGTGCCATTAAAAATAAGATAAAACCTTTTATTGATATTTTATGCGAGTACTATTTCTATACAATTTGAATGATTAAAAGCAAATAATGGTAAATCTAATATTTTAAAGAATTAATAAAACCAATTTTCTTTTAAAAGTACAATGCTTAATCAATAATTATAGTATAACTAGTTTTCAGTACCAACCACATGTTGTTACATATACTTATTTACCTCGTCATAAGTTTTCCTTATAAAGGTAAATCAATCTAATTAAAATACTGAAGTATGCAATTTAATTGACGAACAAAAAAAATAAAAAATAATAATTTAATATCGATAATATATTTTTTTATCTATCGAGGTAATATTATGTAGTAATATTCTTCAATTAAGGTTGAAAATTGAAAAGAAAAAATGAAAGTATCCTTATAATCGGTTTGACAGTTTTGAAGTTAATTAAGAATATTATTAATATTGATACATTTAATTTATTTAAAATCTATTTGGGATATTTATAGGTATACATTTCGAAATGATTAACTGAACTCGTGTTTAAAACGAAACTTATAGTAACCATTACATTTGTAACTAACTGAAATGCTATTGTAGACTTTTGAGCGTTCGAGAAACGATGTTCGCGAACAATATATACTGAAAAAATGTTTAAATATTTTAATATTCCACCCCTACACCCCCACCCGTTGGTTTGACGAAAGTATAACTACCTGTATACATCATAATATATAATTATATAAATACACGGAGAATGCATCTTTTGGCACGTGTCGGTGTACACAGTGTTAATAATATTTTCATAGGATTTATAACAGTGATTCGTTGGTACAATTAGTTCTGGGCCCGTTGACCAACGAGTAACGGGAACTGCCTCCTGGGCCGTGTTTGCGGTTTATCTGCACCGAGCCCCTGATGAATAGCTCTTTGAACGTTTCCCGGAACTGTCTGGACATGCCGCAGTAAATAGCAAAGTTGATCGGGTAGCTGACAATGATGAAGAAATTGGTGAATAGCACCAGCAAGTTGGCTACCGAATAGTCCAGTATCTCTTTAATGCTGCTAGATATTATGTGCAACACCTGTAGCATACACACACAAAAAATAAACGATATTAATAATATTCTAATGTCGGCTGGTAATTACGTAGAGAATATTGATTTTTTTTAATACCTTTTTAACAGAATTTTCTGTTCAGGTTCTAAAAACTATCAAAATATACTAAAATAATAGGAAAAAATAAATATGTTAAAATAAATAAACTATAAATAAGTTTTGAAAGTTTATTTTCTTTTTTATCTAGTTTTACTTTGTAATTTTGTATTTTCTTTCTTTATTACTTTTTCTGATTTGTGAATTACTGTAATTTATTATATACACGTTGTAGCTATAAATTTTCATTGTATAAAACATATATAAAACTGTAATAGGAATTTTATTTCCGTTAATAAATATTTTTATTATTATATTAGTATTAAAAAATCGTTCAAAAAATGTTCGTATAATACATTTTTAAAATTGTACTATAAAAATACTGCCCATATGACAACAATAAATTAAAAAATTATACAATTTTCTTTTCGTGTGGTTAAAGGCACAAACTATATTAAGCTTAGCTACTACCAATAGTCGCGTTTGCTTGTGAAACGTGATCAACAATTAAATGAGAAAAAAATTGCTCATATTTGAGTAGAAATTACTGTTAGACCCATCAGAAATGAAACTACTGGAGAAAAAAGAAAAAAACATAGCGTGAGAAGTATTGTATAAGAAGCCTAATATATTGTATATAAGTCACTTATTTATGTCAATAAAAAGTTTCTTAATTTTCAAGGGAATAGAAAGTGGCTCAGTTAAATATGTTAAGCTGAGGGAAATCTACCTACTTCGAAATAATTTATCAGTCAACAAACCAATCAGTAAATGCTCTAGAGTTAAACTCCCAGAACGGTAGTCAGATTGTGTGAAAAAAAAAACGAAAAAATGTGTGGATGTACTAAATAAAAAATGCAAAGTGTCTTAATGACCTGTAAAATCAAAAGGCCAAGTCACATACGTGGCGTTAATTTATGCTTCACTACTCTCCCCCTACCAAAACTTAAAAGTGGAATATATCGGTTGGCGGAAATCAAAAATGTTGATACCAAAATGTATTTAAAATAATATTTATCTATCTATTTATGAAATTGTTAATATAGGTTCTCATTTGAAAAACCAAAGTTGTTATCACCACAAGATACTCTTGAAATGTTGTGAACAATTTTGTTATTCAATGTCAATTGTTATTAGATATAATCAAAATTTCACCAGAAAAAGCAAGTAAGGATCTTTTTGATAAAAGAGTTGGCTCTTTTTTTTCATAAAATATAAAATCGCTATGATTTAAAACATATATTTTTGAAATGATAAATTGGTGAAAATAGGCGGTGGTGGTCAACTTCTAACACCTATGTTCGCATGTTCGTCTCATAAAAAAAAGTACACGCTGCCATTGGTACCCGGACTTGCTTAAGATGAGAATTCAGAGTAGTAAGCGTTCGGACTACGTTGTATACCTACTGACTGTATGTTCAAAATCCTTTTTGCAGTAGGAATATTGTTTTTTTTTTTTTTTTTTTTTTTTTACGTTTTTTGGCCTTAAATAGTAGGTTTACTGTATTTCCACTTACAGAAAAAAAAACTTCGCGATTATAATTTAAAGAACGAGAAAAAGGCCATAGAAATACCTATATTACCATTACGTTCCTCACTTCCTTAGTCGTTTATTTTATTCCTGTGTTATTTCATAAGAGGCTTACCTGAACCGCTACCGTGGTTCAATTATAAAAACGCAGCCCGGTAAAACTGAGTCTGAAATGTAAATAAACCTAAACGAGAGAAATATATATATTTGTATTTTTTTATTTTAACAACTAACGGTAAGAATAATATTTATTATACAGAAAATTGTACAGTTTATACAGTATTTTCATACCAAAATAAAGCGTTAATTTATTTTCAGTTTAAATCTTCGTGAAAATGAGAAAATAAAAACCGATAAAACACGTAAGCGAAAAGTATTAACCAGACATATTATTGTTACTCGTCGCTTTAAAACATAAAATTAAGAAATATTCGGTAAGTGCACTCCTAAACTATTTATGATATTATTTTTTTTCGTATAAACAATAATTTAAACGTGTTTACTTTTGGTCTCATTTTATAATCTGAAATATAGTAGATCTATGTAGGTTTCATATTTGAAAATAAATAATTGAAAATTTTATATTTAATAATATGATTTTCATTAAAATGTATTTATAGAAATCAATTCAGTTTTTAAACATTAATTTATGATAAAAATTAAAATTTACATGTAATAAATAAATAGGTATTAATTACAACTTGATAAAATAAACAATATTATTATACAAATAGCAAAAAAAAAAAAAAAAAAATAGCTGATACTGGTGATGAATGTTGCCACTGTTATAGGTGGGTAGTGGGGAAGGTGGGATACATAAGGCTATTTTATTTATATCTGTAAATAACGATAAATTATAGCTGACGAAAGACGATTCCGGGCACATAAATTAAAGTGCCGTAATTTTTGTAACCTAACCTTCCTTCGTTTTTTTGTCGATTATTATGAAAACTAATTCGAAAATCAAAAAAACAAACTGCATCATTAAAAACAAGATTAATAATTCAACAAAATGGTCTCTTATCGTTTTTCAATTGGAGCTATATTTATGCTAGAAAACGTGGTAGGTACTTATTTAAAATAACGAAATCGTGAAAAAATCGTATTTTTTTTCCCGGTTAATCGTTTTTTATTTTAAATACCGTTTCGAAAATCAAAAAACGCCCTATGTATTTACCAAGTAGATAAATTGACTTTCAGAAAAGGTGCTACACTTACATATGTCTTTACGTGTATTTATAACCGAATTACAGCAAAAGAACTTCAAAAAATTAAAATTCCTTAAAAGCTCAAAAGTGACTGAAAAGTTTTGGTAATGATACCGTAATAAATTAATTAAAAAAGGTGTTTTGTGATTTTTCGATTAAATCATTTTTTCTGGTAAAAAACGTCGTCCGTGTTTTTATAAAATAATAAAATCGTGAAATGGTACGTTTTCCTACGTTTTTTTTCTAATTAAGTGCTTTTATTTAAAAAATAGCTTCGCAAATCAAAAGGTGAACTTTTTAAAGTATAATCTAGAAGACTTGAGATTTTATAAACGGTGCCTCACTTATATATCAAAGGAAGTACACTACTAAAAAACGTGTTCACAGACTAGAACAAAGAATAAGAAATAAATAGTATTGTAAAATCAATAGCTCCTCCGCTACACTCGGAATCTAAAAGGACGGAAATACTTCGTACATAAGTGCAGCCACTTTTGTAGGTGGACAGTTGGGAATGTAGGATACAGACGAGAATTTAACGTATATCTGTAAGCAATGATTAAACATTGAAAACGAAAAAATTTATTCTGAGTGGTGTTCAGTTGATAGTGTTAATTGTCAACAATATATATGTCATATAATATGTAAAATGATTACAAAAATGTGCGTTTCCATGACAACAATGATTATTTAAAATAATAAAAACTTAATAATAACGAAAAATAAATAAAAATAGCTTCAACGATAACCTTATTTTTAATCAGGTTTTCCTCACTATCTCGAATATTTATGAGAAATCTAAAAAATGAACTGTCTAAAGTACCATCCAGAAAACATTTCCTTTCAGAAAAGGTGTTATACTTGATAATCAGAGTATGCTTTCTGGTAGAAAAAGAGTTGATATAAAAAAAAAATTAAAAAAATAAATAAATAAACATCATTGTAAAACCAATACATTACTTGCTCCACTTAGAATATAAAGTTTATTTTATAATTTTCTTACTTGTACATAATAATTATTATTACAATTTATATTTTTAAACATGGACAAATTATATTTTATTAATTGTTAATCTGAACTTTTTCCATATTATCTAGATCATCACTCATCACTGCCAAGAATTGATTGCGATTTCTAGCTATACATTTTTAAATTGTAAATAAATCTGATAATAATCAGTCTTTCAAAATTGTCATTATTGATCTTTTTTCTGGAATACTTTCGGCTTTAAGATTCTATGTGTATCATTGCGTGAATCTTGAACCACCACATTCAGTAATTCAATTGGCTATTCACATCACATTCACATTTGGATGATTTTATTATCGAAGAACAATGTATTTATCAAGTATTCACAAGATGTGAATACTTGGTGGCATAAAATATCAACTATAT